GGTATCATCAGTGATTTATCGGCAAACCACACGCCACGCGATACCATGGCGAGACGAAATGAGGACGACTCAAACACCCACAAACCCAACATGAAACAGTTTGTTCCTCGTTTTGACGCCCACTACAAATGAACGGAAAATCCTCAAATGTAAGCAACTTGTATCACCAACACACAATATACGCCTTTAGGCACGAATCGAAAAGCTCACGCACCCACAAGCAGGTTGCCTTTAAAATACCAGGGACGAGGGATGGCACACGCAATCGTCCCTTTCTCGTCCAACACCTCCATAAGGCCCTCAACAGCATTCTTCAAGACGTTTTTAGAGGCCGGCGTGTCCTTGAATAAGAAGTCCTGGCGCGTGAGGTCGACGATGGCAAGTTTGGGGCGGTTGTAGGTCTTGAGCGGAGAGCCGCCCGTGTACGTGTTGGTTCGTGAGGCAAAAAGTTCCTCTGCGTGGACAACCGTGTTCCGCGACCTGCACGAAACGAGGTAGGGTTGGGCAAGGTACACAGGGCCAAGGTGGTTACGAGGGCGGTCATCAAACAGTTAGGGTGTAGCACCCAGCGTGAACGCGTGAATACAAGAGTACTTGCAAGGACGTCCAAAAACCAACACCATACCGAGAGCACTGTCAAAACAAGGGCGAGGGGAGTGAAGAATAACAAGAGGATCTCAAGGGAACCTTCTTCGTCGAAGGCTACAGCTTAAACTTCCGCATAAATAATATCGAATGTTGAGGCAAATTGCTGACATTCATCATCATTGCTTGACCTAAACCACAACAACTCCGACAATACTTCCAAGAAGGAGACGTGGGGTCCTTACATGCTCGTATCCACCTCCACAGTGCTGTCGCCCTCCGGCAACGTGACCTTCTCGCCTTTCCTCCGCTTCTTTGTAGCGCGTGCTCCGTCATCACCGGAGTCGATGTCTTCTGTGCAGTCCTTGCACACGAGAGCCCTGTCGCCTTCTTTGACGATGACGTTGCACGACTCTAGGTGGAGGATGCCGCACTTGGCGCATTTTGACCTGGGATCCATGCACATACACAGAAGAGATAAGATGATTTAAAATGATTTCATGATGCAACCAGAACGAACGAGGGAAGAGGGAGAAACAAAGCCGTTCGGATGCATACGTAGACGATGTGAAGTGCAGTATGTAGACGTTTAGACAACGGGCGGAGCTTAAAAGAAGTCAACAAATAGCAGTGTGTAAGTATAGCAGCATACTTCAGAGTAAAAACCTTGCTGCGTCATTTATCAGTCGACCTAAGTAGTCGTGACAGCGAAAAAAAAAAAGCCCCTCCTCCTGCTCCTTCACCCCCTACAAAAAGACATACATACTGAAGAGTACTCTTCTAGCGGTTGCAGCATTTGCACTGCACTGTAGTAACCATCCCTTCACGCTGAGTTCCGAAAAGAAAAGAACTTTCATTCATTAGTATTCCTTGAGGTTCAAACCACATGCCCGTACTCGCGGGGACACAAACGATATATACTTACCCATCAGAGGGAGGGGACGGATTGCACACGTCGCAAGCTCGGGACTCAGGCGTCTCTTCGTCGTCCTCCTCCTCCGACGAGGAGGAGGACGAGGAGGAGGACGAGGAGGAGGTGTCTCCCTCGTGCTGTTGGACGAAGACGTCGACGTCAGACATCCTCTTATCCCACGCGTCCATGAAGGGTCGCATGTCCGAACTCTTCCTTGCAAGCTGGGGAAAATGCGACGAACAGGCAACAACGTCGAGAATTGTGGTGAACGATTCGGGCCGCAACGGGCGGAACGGCACCGTTAGGCACCTAGTAACCCAAATAGCTAGTATTGTAACGTTGCATGTCCAAACATGCACTCCAACATACGTTGAAATAAACTGCTGCAGAATTATAGGTTGTGATGTAGAGCAGCATCTAGCAGCGTACGGTTCCTATACAACGGTCCTTGACGGAACAAGAACGCATGCCACGAGGGCATGAGAACAAAGACACGGGTACGCTCACCTTATCGAGCTTATTGGTGAGCTTCGACTTGATGATACAGACATGCTCCTCCGTCAGCTGGGTAACTCTCTTCAACAATCCAGAAAGGTGCTCCACCTCCCTGTCTCTGTCTTGCATGTGACCAATCCCCCACGTTTCCCAGTCCGTGTGCCTACCGTACACTATCGCGAAAAACGCCCTGCGCGCACGCCGTAAAGGGGGACGCAACTTTCTGTCGATTCGACCCGGATTTCTGTGGAAAGGAGATGTTGGGAAGGTTTCGGACTATTCGTGAGGTACGCGTGCGCGCGTCGAGCGGCGTTGCAAAGCTTCCCGCTCCCCATTCTTCCCTCCCGATGTTCGCACTCCTTACCATGACGCCACGAAGAACCACGCCACGCACCCCACCGCCCGAGTACCGATACAAAAGTCGACGCATCACAAGCCGCTCACTTACTTGTGGAACTCGGGACTCCAGTGATAGAACGGGATGACGGAGGTCACGAGCTTGTGTAAATCTCCAGCTTCGAGGGCACGTTGCCTNGTTCGCACTCCCTACCATGACGCCACGAAGAACCACGCCACGCACCACACCACCCGAGTACCGATACAAAAGTCAACGCATCACAAGCCGCTCACTTACTTGTGGAACTCGGGACTCCAGTGATAGAACGGGATGACGGAGGTCACGAGCTTGTGTAAATCTCCAGCTTCGAGGGCACGTTGCCTTAGCTTGGGGAGGTGGCCCCGGAAGCGGCTTGCACTTGCAGCCTGGGTGGTTTGTCGTTTTCCCTTTGGAGTGATGCCCGCTGGTTGTTGGCAAAATAGTTAGTGTGGACTTGAGCGCGGGAAACGGGGGTGAGTTAACCGTCACTTGGTTTTCGCCTGCTTCTCGCAAGAAATGCCGTCGGTCGAAGTACGGGAGGGGCGTATGGTCGCAAGAGTTCTTGAAGGAGGGCAATAAACTCACAGCGGATCAGGGCACGGAGTCGGTGGAAGCTGTATGTTTCACTTTCCCTTCCTTGCTGCAGAGTGGGAAGCTGCCAAGTGCGGTGTGGGACGCGGTTGAAGAGAGCGTACCCACCTCCTCTCTCGAGGAAAGTGATTCCGATGTAGAAGAAGAGCAGGGGGGGGAGTGGGCGGCGGGTGACCCGGGGGGGGAGCGTTCAGCTATTGTTCAGCCTCCCACTGCCCCACCGCCCGAGAGGGCCACCACCCCGATCCCTAACCCTCGCAGCAGTGCTACGCCAGCACTTCGACCTCCTCCAGCGCCAGGCGTGCTGTTGACGGCTGCACATTTTAGACCGCGTAGGGGGCAAGAGAGGACGGAGTAGTTGATTAGTTAGACGACTCGTTACTGGTGGATGTACCTTGCTTGCTTGTGGATCCGACAGTCGTTTACCTTTTTAGCGTGACCTCCACGGCTTTGTAACCGGAGTTTTTCATAGTCCTTGGACATTTTGCCTGTGGGAGGAGGCAAGGTGATTTGCCTCGATCGCGCGTGCCTGGTGTGTGTGTGTGTGCATTTTCGCTGTCCGTGCTTCATTTAGTCTTTGTACGATAAATCAACACTGTGGGGCGGCATCGGGAAGCGGCGGGACTCAAGCGGGTTCGTTTACCTTTGGTCGCCGAATGCGTGGTCTAACACACACACGGATAGCACTTCGGTCACAAACTCGCGTACATAACCTACGTGGGGAAGAGGAGCCTTTCCTCTCCACCATGTCTCCACTATGAATGTTTTATGCACCCTGCATCTCTATCGCCGAAAATGCTCCGGAAACACCTCAAAGTTATGATATGGCATTGAATCTCTCAACGTTTCATATCACACCCTCTCCCGGATTATCACCGAAGCTATACTTTCTTCTACTTTCCTCCTGAAAACACGTTCCGTCTGTCTCCCGTGATGCTTTTCGCCATGGCAACAACAGGCGTGGTCACCGACGCCTGTATGAACTATTTCTGCCCGCGGTTACCCCCCGATAGCGCTTTCGATCATAATTAAATCCAAAGGGTGAACACAAGACGGGGGTGGTGTTCATTCCCATTTCAAAATTAGTTCCCATTTTTCTCGCAACCTTGTTAAATACTCAAAACAAAGAACCACTCCATATGTGCATGATTGCTCCTCCTACACGGGTTTCGACATTTTCTCGGCGTATCTTACTACCACATGCATCTGATTGCGGGATAATATCCTCCATACTGGACTCCTAGTGGGATTTGCTGACATGGGGTGAACGGCTTCAATTCTTGGCCCATCCGACCCACCCATATCAAGACATACTTCGTGCGGTTCCAGACTAATTGGGCTGGAACCAACTCTTCCTCCCTGGTGAACGTACTTTCAAATTCCCTACTTGCTGAACCATTCTGCCCCAGATGATCCCCACTACCGCCTCAACCAAGCACGATTCTAAACAACACTGAAATGCCACCGACAGCCCTATAGAATACCAGAGTTTTACCCCTGGCCCGTAGGCCCTGCCGAGGACACCTAACGCTGCCCAACCCTGGGACGCCACCTCCAGCCCTACAAACCAGAGTTTTATCCCTGGCCCATAGGCCCTGCCGATGACACCCAACGTTGTTCTTCCTACTACCGAACTGACCGGTATCACCCTGTCTCAATAAAGACCGTCACATGTCCTGTCGCTTTCGGCTATTCCTATTGGTTAGGTTGAAATGTCGTATTCGGCTAAGATCTGAAGAGCACAGCAGGATTGCCATCATCTGCAGATCGCTAAGCTGGGGAAGGACATAATTCTGTAATCACCGACCCACCCAACTCTGCTCCACGCCAAAATAAAATAATGTCGTCGCCTGTAACATTAACTCATGCATTCATCAATAAAAACTGAGGCTCAACGACACCACCGATACGAGGCATATCCGATACTATGCCCTACCCAAATTCTTGACGAAACGAAACATAAACATACACACACGAAGGAGGCGTCCAGGCGTATCCGATACCCCGCCCTACCTAACTGCTTGGCGAAACATACAAGTAGTCTAGATAACCACAAACAAAGCAGGGTGATAGCCAACTCCCCTANCCGACCCACCCAACTCTGCTCCACGCCAAAATAAAATAATGTCGTCGCCTGTAACATTAACTCATGCATTCATCAATAAAAACTGAGGCTCAACGACACCACCGATACGAGGCATATCCGATACTATGCCCTACCCAAATTCTTGACGAAACGAAACATAAAACATACACACAAGAAGGAGGCGTCCAGGCATATCCGATTCCCCGCCCTACCGAATTGCTTGGCGAAACAATCAAGTAGATAGCCACAAAAACAAGGCAGGGTGATAGCCAACTCCCCTCACCATGATTACCTACATCACACAACTTGCATCACCGACACCGTCGATACTTCGATGCAGCCATATCAGCGGACACCTAAATACCACGCTGGCCCCAGAGGTATTGGCGGTCCCATAAAGATCCCAGTCCGGAAGATTAGATGGTCGATGGTGCCAGGGAAGGCCGATGTGCCGACGTGCCGACGTGCCAGAGACCCTTCCCGCGCTAGCACACGAGGAGGGGAGGTCGATCGACACATGATTCTGAGTCGAACCCTGCACCCTTGCTGGAGAAACTCCCTCCAATGGAACACCAGAACTAAGACGGTAGGTCAACACCGTGAAAGGGTGTGTCGCGACCTCGATCCCATCCGAGGAAGCACCACACCGATGGGATACAAAGACTAAGACGGGAGATCAACACCGTGTGAGGGTGTGTTGCGACCTCGATCCCGCCCGGGGAAGCACAACAGCGACGGAACACAAGGACAAAGACGGGAGGTCAACACCGTGTGAAGGTGTGCAGCGACCTCGATCCCGCCCGGGGAAGCACAACACAGACGAAACACAGGAACGAAGACGGGAGATCAACACCGTGTGAGGGTGTATCGCGACCTCGATCTCGCCCGGGGAAGCACAACACCGACGGCATACAAGGACTAAGACGGGAGGTCAACACCGTTTTAGGGTGTGTCACGACCTCGATCCCGCCCGGGGAAGCACAACACAGACGAAACACAGGAACGAAGACGGGAGATCAACACCGTGTGAGGGTGTATCGCGACCTCGATCTCGCCCGGGGAAGCACAACACCGACGGCATACAAGGACTAAGACGGGAGGTCAACACCGTTTTAGGGTGTGTCACGACCTTGATCCCGCCCGGGGAAGGGCAACGCACACACGGAACACAGAAACAAATGCGGGAGAATAACGGCACGTGATGGTGTACCAAGACTTCGATCCCGCCCGGGGAAGCACAACACAGACGGAACACAGGAACAAAGACAGGAGGTCAACACCGTGTGAGGGTGTGTCGCGACCTCGATCCCGCCAGGGGAAGCACAACGCACACGGAACACGGGACCAAAGATGAGAGGTCAGCGGCACGTGATGGTGTGCCAAAACCTCGATCCCGCCCGGGGAGGCACAACACAGACGGAACACAGGAACAAAGACGGGAGATCAACGCCGCGTGATGGTGTGCCAAGACCTCGATCCCGCCCGGGGAAGCACAACACAGACGGAACACAGGAACAAAGACAGGAGGTCAACACCGTGTGAGGGTGTGTCGCGACCTCGATCCCGCCAGGGGAAGCACAACGCAGACGGAACACAGGAACAAAGACGGGAGATCAACGCCGTGTGAGGGTGTATCGCGACCTCGTTCTCGCCCGGGGAAGCACAACACCGACGGCACACAAGGACTAAGACAGGAGGTCAACACCGTGTAAGGGTATGTCACCACCTCGATCCCGCCCGGGGAAGCGCAACGCACTCACGGAACACAGGAAAAAATGCTGGAGATCAACGGCACGTGATGGTGTGCCAAGACCTCGATCCCGCCCGGGGAAGCACAACACAGACGGAACACAGGAACAAAGACGGGAGGTCAACGGCACGTGATGGTATGCCAAGACCTCGATCCCGCCCGGGGAAGCACAACACAGACGGAACACAGGAACACAGACGGGAGATCAACGGCACGTGATGGTGCGCCACGACCTCGATCCCGCCCGGGGAAGCACAACACAGACGGAACACAGGAACAAAGACGGGAGGTCAACGGCACGTGATGGTGTGCCACGACCTCGATCCCGCCCGGGGAAGCACAACCCAGACGTAACACAGGAACACAGACGGGAGATCAACGGCACGTGATGGTGTGCCAAGACCTCGATCCCACCCGGGGAAGCACAACACAGACGGAACACAGGAACAAAGACGGGAGATCAACGGCACGTGATGGTGTGCCAAGACCTCGATCCCGCCCGGGGAAGCACAACACAGACGGAACACAGGAACAAAGACGGGAGATCAACGGCACGTGATGGTGTGCCAAGACCTCGATCCCGCCCGGGGAAGCACAACACAGACGGAACACAGGAACAAAGACGGGAGATCAACGGCACGTGATGGTGTGCCAAGACCTCGATCCCGCCCGGGGAAGCACAACACAGACGGAACACAGGAACAAAGACGGGAGATCAACGGCACGTGATGGTGTGCCAAGACCTCGATCCCGCCCGGGGAAGCACAACACAGACGGAACACAGGAACAAAGACGGGAGATCAACGGCACGTGATGGTGTGCCAAGACCTCGATCCCGCCCGGGGAAGCACAACACAGACGGAACACAGGAACAAAGACGGGAGATCAACGGCACGTGATGGTGTGCCAAGACCTCGATCCCGCCCGGGGAAGCACAACACAGACGGAACACAGGAACAAAGACGGGAGATCAACGGCACGTGATGGTGTGCCAAGACCTCGATCCCGCCCGGGGAAGCACAACACAGACGGAACACAGGAACAAAGACGGGAGATCAACGGCACGTGATGGTGTGCCAAGACCTCGATCCCGCCCGGGGAAGCACAACACAGACGGAACACAGGAACAAAGACGGGAGATCAACGGCACGTGATGGTGTGCCAAGACCTCGATCCCGACCGGGGAAGCACAACACAGACGGAACACAGGAACAAAGACAGCAGGTCGACACCGTGTGAGGGCGAGTCGCGACCTCGATCCCGCCCGGGGAAGCACAACACACATGGAACACAGGAACAAAGACGAGAGATCAACGGCACGTGATGGT